AGTTCATAGTGAACCCCATTGGGTTTCCAAGGCAGCAAATCTTTATGGAAGTAGATTGCACCATCTTCCTTCCACGGAGTGGCTGGTAGGTTTGAACTGCCAACGTTCTGGTTAGCAGTCAAATGCCTTAGGCACTGAGCCACCAGAACCCCACGCAAGATAGCCAGGTTCAATTCCCAGTTGATGCACCTCATGCACAACTCCAACCACCTGTCAGTGGTGGTCTGCGTGTTGCTGTGATGGTGAACAAGGTTTCAGGAGAGCCTCCAGGCTAAGAGGGACTAGGAGGAAAGGCCTGGGGATCTGCTTCCAACAATCAGCCAATCACAACCAGCCGTGGGGATGGAGCAGGACTGGCGGTGCTCATTCCGTTGGGGTTACCATGAGTCAGGGGCTGGCCTAATGGCAGCTGACAATGACAACAACATAGGGCACTGGGATGGATGTCAAGAGATGGGCCTCCAGTCTCAGATCCATCACTAATGGGCTTGGTAACTTGTCCAAGCCCCCTTCCTCTTTACGTTTTCTCATTTTTAGAATGAGGGCCAGATCAGGGATTCCCAACCTTTCATGACAAGAACTGCTTTTATTAACAGTGACACATGTTATACAAAGGTAGGATTCTAAAGTCAGCACTTCCACAGTGACGTCAAATAAAAATGTCCCTAGTCAAGCCCTTGAACACTTGGTTTTGTCATACACGAAACAATGAATTGCATCTGGGGGTCATGTTGTATGCTCCAACAGCCATCTTTGAACACAAGACCCTTACTTGGCAAGGTGAGGGGTTGCTGGGAGAGGAGCCTGAGACCACAAGAGCTACAACAGCAGATCCATGGCTCCCATGCGTGCTCACCTCAAAGGGCAGGTGGAATTGCAACCCCCAAACTACTCTCTCTCTCTCTCTCTCTCTCTCTCTCTCTCTCCCAGTGCATGTGTGGAGTCGAATCCACACAAAGTCGTTTGCATATATGCTGGCTCCTGCATTTCATCCCTCTGGGCCCCAAGATTTAAAGCAGTTTATCTACCAACCCATATTACCTTTATCAAGTCATTTATTAAGTATATCAAGGTCAGCTTTCTCCTTACTTTTTTGGACTGCAGAGTAATAGGTAGGTCCCTGCTGGTCAGAGCTTCTGAACAACTTACAATAACAGCATCCCCACCTTGGAGTGGTTTAATGGCTCCGAAACCCAAGACCCTTGCTTTTTAAGACAGCCTGTGGTGAGGATATGATTTATAAGATGTTATTTGAAACACTGAAAATAGCTTTAGGCAGCTCTAGTCCCAGGGAACCCAGACTGAGAACCACTGAACCGGTCCAACTCCACTGATGGCCCTCCCCTCTCCTGACATGTGGAGAGCTATGGCTCATGTACTGGATCCCTGGGAGGTCGAGTGAGAGGAGCTACCTCATAGCTGGGTACAAAACAACCCAAACCCACTGCCACAGAGTTGATTTCAACTCATAGTGACCCTCATTGGGTTTCCAAGTCTGTGTATCTTTACAGAAGTAAATTAACCTCATCTTCCTCCTGTGGAGCAGCTGGTGCTTTTGAACCACCAACCTTCTGATTAGCAGCCACATGCCTTACCCACTATGCCACCTGGGCAGGAGGGAGCAAAGGAGAGGGACAGACCCACCAGATCACATAACCCTCAATGTGTAAAATTTCCTGAGCTCGTCAGCATTCCTGGCCCCATTTTTGAAGGCACGAAGAGGTTGTGGGATTTTTTTCCAAGATCATAAAGCTAGTAGGTGGTGGAGCTAGAGTTGGAGCCCAAGGCTGTAGACCAGTACTCTCCTCTCCAGTCCCTGTCAGCTCCATGGAATGGGGAAGCCTTGGCGAATCTTTCCCCAAGCCTTTCTTCCCTGGCCCCAGGGAGGGCTTGTCATTTCCATTCAACAAAGAGGCCTTGACTTCCTTCATAATTGCCCTTGGAACCTCTTTTGTCCAAGGAACAGTGAAGCTCTTGGACCTCAAGGCCTCAAGTTGTCTCCTTACCACACCCACCAGAGATTCTTTCTGTTCCTACTCTTCTTAAAGGTAAATTAGGAAACTATGTGGTTATGTACTTAACTTCTAGAAGGTTCCATATATGGGTGGAGATATGAAAATTGGAGATTTCATGTATCTGTCACTGTAGTCTGGCCAATTGAACTTGGTCCTCAAGTTCAGTAGCCCCTTTTTGGGGGATGAGGGGTAGCAGTCTTTTGGCTGCTTCCCCTGGATCGTGGGAAATAAAGAGGCACAGGGGGCTTGAAGACAGAAGGATGAGTGGAACAAAGGAGTTGACCTGCGTTGAAAATGATGAGTAGGAGTATGGCTCCAGATAAAGGCAGACCGGGGTTCAAATCCTGGCTTAAGTACTTCCTTGCTATGTAACCTTAGACAAGTGACTCTACCTTTCTGAGTCTCAATTCTCTCACCTGAAAAAGAAAGGTGACAGTATTATTTCCTACAGCTTCATGAGGATTAAGTGAGACTGTGCACACTGCCCAGTGTACAGTAATAAGTCAGGATACATTGGCTGTTACTATTGTTAGCCAAATGTGCCAAGCCCTGCACTCAGTATTTTCCATGCATTATGAAGGATACATTACTTTGATGCTAATTTTACAGACATGGAATCTCAGACAGATGCTCACAGTATAGGACTTCCCCCAGACTACTAGCTAGGTCTGGCATAGTTGGGATTCAATCCACTGTTGGACACCAGAGCCCTCTCTCTACTTGCCCAGCCTGCCCTGAAGCTGGAACTCTCCCCACCCCGCACATATTCCCCATCCACCCTCCTGCTCCCGTCATCTGTTTTTCTAGCTGACTCACCTTTGAGGTTGTCAGCAGGCTCTTCCTAGGAGGCACGTCTCCTTTCTATGCATCTGTCTGAGGGCCCAGCACTCCACAGGTCTGGCCCATTACCTGTAGTCAGTAACGAGTGTGGTACATAGCAAATACAGGTACCCTGTTTAGGAGCCGCCATGTTAATTATGCCAGAGCTAGAAGAAGCCGGATCCTGCCCTGTAAAGAAACTTTGCCTCAATGGTCAAGGAAGAGACACCCAAATTTACATACTGCATGGCTTGTCAGCTTCTCACAGGGTGGCCCCTTCTGCTCTCCAAAGGCTAGTCCACGTCACAGCCTGATGGAATGTTGAGTCTCGAAAGGAGCCAACAAGCCATCAAATCCTGGCTCCGGCATTTTATAATGAAGATGTGAGGCCAGGGAGGAAGTGACATGCCCAAGGTCCCACAGCAGAGCAGATGTGGAGACTGGGACTCCAGACTCCTAGTCCGGTGCTCCTTCTGCCTTCCCTCTCTGCCTGAGCATCTGCCCCTGGACCAGGTGGAGCCAGGTGACCCCAGAAAAAGCCTGTATCACCCTTCTCCCCCTACCCAATTTAGAGAAGCCCTTGAGCACCCTTGGAGGGACACAGGCTGTGAGCCTGCAGCCTCCAGGTCAGGTGCCTCCATGAGTTTCTCTTTGAGTGGCCTTGGGTTCTCACCCAGTGATTCATGGCCTCCCAGTAAGATGAGAAGGAGGTTGGCCAAGGTGGGCTTGGAGTGCCCTCAGCCCCTGACTCTTATGCTTCATGGCCCTGCCTGCATGTCCCCTGCTCAGTTCTGTCCCTTTCAAGGAACAATGAACACCAGCGAGCAGCAAGGAGAAGGCATCCATGTAAGGAGGAAGGCTCTGTGAAAGCTCATGCCCACATCAACGCCCTTTGCCCATGGGCCTCCAGGCACCTGAGTGCGGCCCTGGCACTGCCTAGTGAGCGTGGCTGGTGGACAGACACCCAGCACATTAGTAGAAACCACAGCGATGCCAGGAATCTTTCCTGCTTCACCCCACCCTCACCCTGGCAGGCTGTCTCTGCTTTTCTCTCCACGGATTCAAACACTGTTTAAACCTCTAGCTTGGGATTTGGGCCTGTCATCTCCACGTAAACTGGAGTAGAATGGGCTGGGCAAGTGTGGGAGGTGAGCACTGCCCAATCCTTTTGTCCCTTGCGATAATGACGGTGCTAGCCTTGCTTTCTGGGGTGGGTGTTAGCGTGTGGTTTGGGATGGGGCGGGGCCTTACCCTCTCTGAGTTACATTCACAATCCTTATATGATATAAGGATTTGCTATAATCACAGTCCGGCCCTCACCCGCTGATGCAAGAATTCAATGAGATAGTGTGTGTCACATGCTTGGCACAGTGCCCAGCACACAGCAGATGCTCCCCAAACTGTGGCTACTATTATTGTGTTAAATTTAGTTTTTGTTGTTTTTGAGAATACACACAGCAAAACACACACCAGCTCAACACGTCTACATGTACAATTCAGTGACACTGATCACGTTCTTCGAGTTGGGCACCCATTCTCCCCCTTCGTTGCTGAGCTGTTCCTCCCGCATCTACATCAGCTCACTGCCGCCTAAGTTTCCCATCCAACCTTTCAAGTGGCTATTAGCAGTTTGATCCTGGGTCAATAGGTCTGAAGAGCTCAGCGCTCAGGGAAGGTGTTCGGTACCAGCTAAGCTAAACAGTTTGGTTCAAAGAAGGCTCTAGGTGATGTTTTTGGTTTAAGGTTTCAAGTTTAAAGATTTTCTCAAGACAATAGTTTCAGAGGAGGTATCCAGCCTCAGTGACTCCAGAAATTTTGGATTCCATGAAAATTTGAAATTCTGTTCTTCATTTTCAGTGCTTTCTAATTAATATTACTAATAAGCCTCTCAGCAACCCTTTGGGATAGGACTTACCAGCTTTGTTCTGTGGAGGAGGAAAACAGAGGTCAGCTATGTTCCATCTCCCCCATGTCCACCCACACCCCAGCATAAATTCCCAGAACCCTTTGCACAGAGTCTTATCATAGAGGCATACACCACCTGCTAGTTGGGGCTGGCTGCTGGGGCCCCCATGGGGTGGGGGTAAGGAAGGAGGGGCGAGGATTCTTTCTGTGTGGGGTCCCCCAGCAGAGAAACTGAGGCAGCCTTGTGGTTTTGTAGGTGGAACACCATGGAAGGTGACTGTCTGAGCTGTGTGAAGTACCTGATGTTTCTTTTCAATTTCTTCATTTTTGTAAGTATCCGTGGCACATGCCCCCAAGTGTCTGCTGGGTGGACAGAGATATTCACAGTAGGCCAAGTGCTGGGGCAGGAACAGTGCTGGCTCCTATGGGGTCTGGGGTTGGGTGTGACTCCTTTTGCTGCCTGCTGATCACCCCCCATTCCCTCCTGCACTCCCTCCCCATCAGGGGTCAGATCCCAACACAGAGGCTGAGGCTGGGGCCTGCCCCTCCGCCCTTTGCCAGGGAGTTGAGTCATCCTGGGTCTGTCTATGCCAAGACCTCTCTCCTGTGATGGGTTTGGGGGCCTTGAGAGTCTTACTCTTGGGAGTAGTGTGGGAACTGTGGAGGCCTCCCCTTCATGACAAAATGTTGGCTGGGCAGGGAGACCTGCTTCCAGTGCTGGGCCACTATGCTTAGCAGTCAAAAACTTAACCACCGTGTCACCAGGGATACCAAACACTTTTACAGGCTGCCAGTCCCTGGGTAGGAGCTCTGGTACCGTAGTGCCTAAGGCACTTGACTGCTAGCCAGAAGGCTGGCATTCAAACCCACCAGCCACTCCTCGGAAGAAAGGTTGGGCAATCTACTTCTGTAGTGATACCGTCTCGGAACCCCAAGGAGGGGTTGTTATGAGTGGGGTCCGACTCGACGGCACATAATAAAAACAACAGTCCCTGGGTAATGCAAATAGATAATGCACTCAGCTGCTCTCAGGAAGGCTGGCAGTTCAAAGTCTACCCAGAAGCACTTCAGAACAAAGGCCTGGTGGTCTGCACCAGCTGCCATCCAATCAGTTCCAGCCCATGCTGACCCCATGCGTGTCACAGTAGAACTGTGCTCCTTAAGGTTTTCAGTGGCTGATTTTTAAGAAATAGATCACCACACCTATATCAGCTTGAAGCAACGCATGCTACACTTAAGGGCAGCATAACAAGACAAATCCAAGGCAAGTGAAAGCACTACTGGCATGGAGGCTCATGCTGCGGTTGGGATTCTTGCCCAGCTCACCAGGCACCCAGGGTGAGGGGAGTGGTGTGTGTTGTTTGGGGGTGTCTAACCTCATGTCCTCCTGCTTCTTCTCCTCCCTCTTCCGACTGGCCCGGGGAGCAGCTGGGTGGGGCCTGCCTGCTGGGCATCGGCATCTGGGTCATGGTGGACCCTACCGGCTTCCGGGAGATCGTGGCTGCCAACCCCTTGCTCATCACAGGCGTCTACATCCTATTGGCCATGGGAGGCCTGCTTTTTCTGCTCGGCTTCCTGGGCTGCTGTGGGGCCGTCCGTGAGAACAAGTGTCTGCTGCTGTTTGTGAGTACAGGTGCCGGGCAGGGCAGGGTGGTGGGGGTGGGGGGTGCTTGCTGACTTACAGGCCCTGCCTAGCTTCCATTCAGAAACCAGCAAGTCCACCTGTCTGGGGACTATCAACCCCAGAGGAGACCAAGAGCTCAGTGTGTCCATCTCCATTCACTTTGCCGTCAATGGTCCTAAAGCCCAGAGAGGTTCAGTGACTCACCCAGAGTCCCACAGGGAGTTAGTGGCAGAGACAGGAATGGAACCAAGATCTCCAAGCACTTTGGCCGATGCCCCCTGTGCTGCCACAGTCTGATCCTCACCATGCCTTTGGGGGAGCTGGTTTCTTGAAGCAGCACTCCTTCCTTTCTCCCTTTACAACTTCCCTCAAGTCAAGCCAGGCCCCCTGACTTATTGAAATGAACACCCAGTATGTGTCTAGACTCAGGGAACTCACACTGAGGATATAAACAAGACTGCGGTCTTCCAGGAGTGAGGAACTCACCAACCTCGTCCATCTGCATGTGTGGCCCAGTTTCTGGAGTCTGCTCTTAGAGCTGAGTCTATGTCTGCAATTTGGGTGAGCAGCCACGAGGTGGCACTAGAGTGACCCTACTCTCCAGGTCTGAACCACCAGTCTTCTCCAAGGCAGGATCAACTGAGAATATTGACCAGGATGCTTTTCAACTTGCTTGCTTTTAGGAACTCTAATATATACATTGTATCTTTGCATATAAAGCACCCATGTAAATAATGTGCCTGTGCATAAAAAGCACACAGTGTGCACAGGGAACTAATGCGTGAGGGGAAGACTCTTTATTTGCATAAAAATACAGTAACTCCTCGTAAAATACCTAAGATGATTAGCTGTTGGCTAAATCACTTCACTTCTTGGATTTCTAATTCTAATATAGAGATGATATGATCTCTTAAGGCTCTTTATTCATTAAATAAATGATCCCCGAATATCTATTACAGGACATGTAGTTCACTAGGGCCTGAAGCTACATCTGTGACCAAGAGAGAACTCCCCTCCCTCGTAGACAGGCAGCAGAGGCATGGGTTTGAGTGTGGAACTGCTCCGTCCTCTCACTCTGTGTTTCTACCTTGTTTCTTTACATTTCTGGGCTTTTATGCCTTCACTCGTTAAGCGAAGAGGCTGAGAAGGTAAGCTCTAGGTTGAAGTCAAACCAAGAGAGTATTGGGTTTCTAAGGCAGTCAGTCTTTATGGAAGTAGATTGCCCCATCTTCCTTCAGCAAAACAGCTGGTAGGTTTGAACCGCCAGCCTTCTGGTTAACAGTCTAATGCCTTAGGCACTACACCACCAGAGCTCCAGTATTGACAAGATAGGCAGTGGGTATTCTAGTTTTCTTCTGGTTTCCCCTGGGTTGTGGACCTTTGGCCTTTGTTCACTTTCCTGGCTTTGGTGGGTGGGTCTTTTCTCCCCTAAGAGGTCATATGGGCCCCTAGGGCTGGAAGAACTTCTGGGTTGAGCCCAGGCCTGCTGCTAAGTTACAAACAGCCCAGCTTAGGAAAGTGGGCCTGTGGGTAGATCAACACCCAGGTGCTCCTCGTGGGTGGCTGGAGGTCAGGAGTTAAGTGACGAGGAGACTTGGGCCAGTCAGTTGGAGGACTGACTTGTAAGGCTTCTTTGCAGTCCTGGGGAGGAGTGAGCACCTCGAAGTGCTGGGAGGCAGAGCCCTGGCATGGTGCCCCCTCTCCGGATCAGAATACACCATACACAGTACACAGTGAGATGTGCACAGTGAGATGCCCCTCATCCCAGAGGGGATGTGAAATCAGCTGTGAAATGTGTGACATGGGAGCCTTGGATACGCAAACTTCTTGTTTTCGGAAAAACAAAGAAAACCTGTGAGCGCCCCCTGGTGGAGAGTGCCCTACCATAGCCAACCATGTTCTTAACCTGGAATCATCTTGGCTTGTAGAACCCAAAAGGACTTTATAAAGGGGCTGGGGCATGGGTCTCAGGACACACCAAACCTCCCTTTTCCCCTCCACACCTCAGCCCCCCAGGGCTCATTCATTGTTAATGGGATCATCTTGAAGCCCAGACAGGAAGCCAGGCTGGCGCTCTGGGCTGGGAGCAGGCTGGGGCCTCGCGTCACCTCTCAAACCTCTTAAATGTTCTGCAGCTAAGTGACTGCCTCCAAGTCTGCCAGCTGGACAAGAACTGCCTCTCTCCCCAGCACTTAGGGAGAGGAGGAGGTTTGCCCGAAGTCACCCATGAGAGAACCATGTCCTGCCCACCAGGCTGGGTGCTTTTTTCCTAGCTGTGTTGTGTCCCCTTCCCATCCGTCTTCTGGTGTCTTCTTTCTCCCTCTTCAGTCTGTTATCTCTGTCAGTCCTTTTCTTTGCTCTCTTCCCTGACGCTCTCTTTCCTTGTCTATCTCTGCCATTCTCTTGATTTCTGTGTTTTCATTCCTGCCCCTCTTCCCTCTCTCTCTGGAACTCTCCTCGCCTCTGCCCTCCTCTCGCTGGCTCGCTCTCTCTCTCACTGTGTCTCTTCCCTGCCTTTTCTGTCCTCCCCTACTCTCCTCTCTTCTCCTCTTCCTTCACATCCCCTCCCCTCTTCTCATCCTCTTCATCTCCCCTTCACCCTCCTTTC